ATAAATCTTTAATTTTTTTTTTTTTTTTTTATATCATAAAAAACATGTTAAATTTAACTATGCATGTTAGTCACTAGTATAACATATTTCAATATTTTATTAATTCTATAAAATAGGAAATTATTCTATATTTTAATCTACTCCATATAATACAGTTTTATATGATTAAGTTTATAATTCGTCAATATATTATATAAATATAAGTTATATATTATATATTACAGAATGTACATTAGTACATTATACGTTTAAACATCCATTAAATATCTTGATTTGGGGCTTCAAGGTGGCGATACCGGTTGTCTATCCGGCTTCCGCATAATATAATTTAATACAGCCGCATGTCTTTATAGCATAGTTAGAATAATCAAAATTTATTGTCTTTAGAGGGATCAAGATAATGTTATTATAACTAGGTAGTTATAGCATTACATATTATATTATTAAGGATATATATATATTTTTGTTATAATATTTTTATGTTATATGGCTAAATATACGTATACTTATTCTGTATTTTTACACGGTTTATTTTTACTCGACATAAGCATTCAAACACCATCATCTATATATTAAAATTCTAAAAATATCACATAGATATAAAGTTTATTATAATTTATATACATTAAGTTCTTACGTATTGTTTAGTGTGTTCTTAAAGATAAAGTAGTCAGAGGTAATTGTTATTTGAATTTCTACTCGAATGATAAAATTCAATTATTATTCATCGCCTGTTAGATTTTTTTTATTAAATATTATTATCGAACGAATCGTCCGAAAATATTCTTGTCGCGTTTTCTTTTGTCTTATACGTTACACAACAAATAATATTTATTCAATATACGGAACATAAATTTCAATTATATAATATGCGCAGTAAAATGGCAACAAAGATAATATCATCGCAGAACTATACACAAAGCGTAATGCGAACATTCATAAAACTATAAGAATTTAAAAACAAAAAGTACAAAACCATTATTTCTTTAGTAATTCCGTCATAATTTAAAATCAACATTTTTAATAATTTTTCATATTAATACTTGTTTGGTTGATTATTCAATATTCCAAAATATTTTATTTTTAAATATAAAAAAAAAAAAAAAAATGCATTAACTTTTTAAATAAATTATTAATGTAATATGTTTTTTGGGATTTTAGAAACATAATAATTCAAATCTGTAAACGACTTTAACTATGTACTTATTTTTTAAAACATAGTTATTCTGTGTATAATTATTGTATTCATTATATTTAATGTTATATGAGCATAGGTAAAAAAAAATGTTTGGAACTATGCACATAAAACTCGAGAGATATTGAGCTTAATTGCGTAAAATCAAAATTATAAAATAACTTCAGATGTTTGTTTATAGGTTTATAATAATAAAATCATACCTAATTTATTTCTTAAAAATAACAGTAAATGCTATAAACTTCTATTATTTTGTTTTAAATGGTATGTAAGTTCTTACGAAAGCATGTACATATTTTAAGCATTTTTTTTCTACAAAGTATATATACGTACAATATATTATCATATAGTATAATAAATTTATTAAAATTAACAATTTTACACAAACTTTACATTATTAGATATTTATTTTATTTTTTTATTTTTTATTTTTGAATTTCTCAGTTAATTTTAAAAATATGAAATATATATATTTTATTTTTATTAAATATTTACGATCCATAAAAAGATGAATTAAGACACTTAACTAAAAAAATATTTATTATTCATTAATCATCAATTATAATAACTAAATACATTTAAATGCATAACAATGTGTTTTATTGTCTATTTAGTAAACAAAATAAATCATAAATATTTATGTTAAATAAAAACACTAATTATGTCCTTTTTTTATATATATATATTCTATTTTTTTTTTAAACCAAATTATACAATAATGCTTATGGAGTATTGTATAAATTCAATAATGGTGTGTGTTAAAATTAAACCTTAGATCTTAATATATTTTAATTTATGCATTTTTTTTTTGTTTCATAACAGTTATATGCTTCTTAATATAATCATAATAAGTCAATTAAATACGTGTATGTAGAAAACGTTCAATGTAAAGAACAAACTGTTTTTATCTGTGAGTTACTGTAGAGTTCACAGCAAAATGCTTATCTGACAATTTACAAATCATAATTCGTTGCAATTCGATTTGCACGATTTATTTTACTGAAACCCACAGTCATGCCATGTTCTCTTTCTCAATAGGTAGTCTACATTGTTAGTGGACCATTGGAAAATTCTTATTCATATACATATCAGTAAACTGCAATTACTTTTACGTCATACTATAACCATTATTTATCACTAAAATAAATATATTTTTAGATACCTAATACCCATACTATTATAATGTGGAATATTTAAGTTAATTAAGAATTAAATTTACTTAATATTTAAATATTATCAGTTATACATATTGAAGTCTATATAGTCTTTTATAACAACTATTGGAACATATTTTAATGCTTTATTATAGTTATGGTCATGACAATGAACCTAACATATTTCATTTATATTTTGAAAAAAAATAATAAATTTAATGTGTTTTAACCACCTATAGGCTACAGCATAACTAAATATTTTGTAAATATATACAGCGGTATAAATAATAAATATTTATTACATTTTTTTGATTTATAATATCAAATTTGTTTAAAATTATATTTAGTCAAATCTGTTATGGCATTGGCGTGTTTATTATTCTAGTTATAAATATTTCTATTGTTGCGTGAACAACGATGCAGAATTTTCAAGTGAGTCTACTGATGTCAACATATTGATGTGATCAACGGACATGGTCACAATATATAGCTTGTAAAAATTATGCACGCGGTCAGTAAACTCTTATTCGGTTTATACAGTTCAAGCGTGAAAAATAAAAATAAATAAATATATTTCGATTTTCTGTTATTATGTTATTGTATTATATTCATAATTAGTTAATAGAAATACAATTTTTGAAGGGATATGTCAATTATTAATATCTGTTATCTTTTAAAATGTATTTAAAAAAAACGTTAATACGATTTTACGTAATCAATTACCCTAATAATTACCGATTAAAAATGATATCTTATTTAGAAGTTTTACTGTATATTGAAATAGGTTCTGCTAATCACGTCATATCTGTTTTATATTCTTAATAGTTTTCTAAGACACAAAGAAAACTGCCAAAGACTGTGAACAAAAATTTATGAAATAGGATTGTGATTACAACATAGATACACCGTACATATTTTTTAATAAAAATGTATTATTTAATTAGTTACGATTTAAATAATATAATAGGTAATCATATGATTGAAAAGTTAAAGAAGAAAATGACTTATTCAATATTTTTTCGAAACTTATTATCCAATTAATATTTATTTTTATTTTTTTCAACAAATTTAAAAACAAATACAACATACAAGTATAAGATTATAACATAAGAGTCATGAGGAGTTTATATGATTACTTAAATATTTTGTAACTCTTAAACTAATTTTACTGATCAAAAATATTTTCACAGAAAAATATATTTTAATGACTTATATATTCTTAGTCGTGTTCATGATGAAAAATAAGTATTACTTACTTAAATTAACTGGTTTAGTAAATAAGTTAATATCGATTTTTTAATTTTTTAATATTGTTTGATTTATAATTTTTACTGTTTGTATATCATGTATAACAAATAAATCTATTAAAAGAAACACTGACGTTGACAATAATGAAACTAAATTTAAGACGCCCTTAATTCAATTGACTTAATTTACACGAGTAAATCTCTGTGAAAATTCTAGTTTAAGCATCTTTTGGAACTTTCTAAGTGTGTATATTGGATAACAGTCTTTTGACAAAATGATTTGAACGAAAATTAAATTTTGAATGAAACATTAGATAGTAAATTGTAGCAATTCCATCTATTATTTTTAAACTTATGTTTGAATAAAAAGATACATTTTAAATAAACTATGAAGCTTTAATGATTAAATGGAGACATATTGACTGAAATGTTTGTAAAGTTATAACTTTTTTGTTGTTGGAGGATTTAGTGGAGTTAAATTAACAAAAATAGTTTAATGTATAAAGTAAAATGATTAATTTTTATCAATATCCCATTCATTCATATTTTTATTTTCGTTTAATCATTTATAAAGATTAAGGACAATGAAACTAAACGTAATATATCTAAGTTGTTTTTTACTTATTCATATTATGTACTCATTTATTTTATTTGTTCTAATTTTGAAAAATCTCGAATAAAACATTTTTATTTAGAATATATAAAATTATAATTATTTATTCTTAAATAAAAATGACTTCGTTTTGAAATGGATTTACTTTATTAAAACAAATTAAATATATCTTACTTTATTTATCACTTTAACTGTCTATTTCAAATATTGTCAGTTATAAACAGTTATCGACACGCACGAAATATCATTTCTCAACCATGCACGTGTTAAATCCCAAACCTAATAGAACTTGCAATTCTATACAAAATTGGTTAGGAGCAACATTAAAAATAAACATGAGTTCGCCGTGGTCCAGTAAAATACACATGCGTGATTATTACATGTTTACTACACGAATATTAGCCATGACCTACATCCAAACTACTATTTCGTTTTGGTTAGTTTGTTGTATTATCATTAGTCCTTTTGTTATCTAAAAAATTGAAAAGGTAAAATACAATAATAATATACATAGTGAGCCACCATATTGACCAGTGTTTTAGATATATGAGAAAATGATTAAATACTGTGGTACGCCCAGCTATATTCTGTAAATATTTAAGCAATAAAAATAATAAAAATTGATCAGACGACGTTGTCAAAAAGTTCTCTCTGTAACCTCTTAACGATTGGCAACTTCCATAGTTATTTAATTAAAATCTACAATCACCCCGGAACACTATACCTGAATTGAGTGTAGTACAATATTATACATATTAAATAACCTTGACTTTATTTTGTTGCAGGAAATATTAGTGCGGTTTTCACATATAAGTGGAAGGGCGAGGACATGGCCCGAATGCTGGATGACATGACCAGGAGGGTGATGGTAAAAATCACAATAGCCAGTCATTGCACCAGGCCATACGGTAACATTAACAGGTATTTATATAAAATTCTACTGAGTTATAGTATACTAATTGATTTTTTTTATCGTATATTATATACGATTCGTTATGAATTTTATTTTTGCTGTGTTAGTTACTATTGTTAACACGTAGAGACAACAAATATGATTTGTTACTAAAATGAATATCCTATTGAGTAAAATATATATATATATATAATATATGAGCCATGAGGTGCCTCTATCTAGTTAGCATTGATACTTGGTCTTATTATGTAAAATGTACAACAAATAATAATATTGTTTATCCTATACATTTCAATTTCTTACATAAAACTCAAGGATATTTTACTTTTTAATTTAATTGGGTAACTAAGAGCTACCAAATCAAAATTAATACTTAATTTTACGATTAAACAATTGTATCCATTATTTATATAAAAAAAACGGTTTATTTTCATCATATAGTTTTTGAAATTAAATACATAATTCAGGAAGTTTAAATTTTAATAAAGCCTAACTTTTCTCAAGAACGTTTTTCCTCTTAAAAAATATACCAATCAAAATCACAACATAATGTAATTCAACGGAAAACCTTTATACTTACTAAATTATTTATATATTATATTGGTTGAGTCATCGTGCAGTTTTTTTTTTCATTTTCCCACGATTCTATAGTACAAGAAAACGAAAAAATGCTATCGCTTATACGTTGTATCATAAGTATTTATATAACATATATTGATAAGGAAATTGTAGAGGATAATCAATAACAACTAAAAAGACACGTGCAACATTAATTTCAATCACAGATGAATAGAAAAAAAAATTAAACAATTGCGAGTTCTTGAACATATAGTGAATTTGACCATGTCAATTCACGCATCCAATTGTATCATAAACTAGTATTATTTTTTTAACTATATTTCGAATTTAATCAATTAAAAAGTAAATTTATATCGTGTACAAGTATAAAATAATCACTACCTATTATTTTTTTGTATCGTAAAGTACATGAAGTTTCAAAAATTACAAAACTCATTTTTATTTGTGTGTTAAATTATTTGTAATTATCATTAGATATTATAATTTTATTATCTCTCTAAGCTTAGCAAAAAATATATTTTTATTTAAAACAATTTTTAAGCTCTTAAGTTTTTAATGTTTAATCAAGTATGGTTATCGATTTCATTGATTTGAGCGTAAGATTTATATTTTACTGCTCTCAATAATTAAGTCAACATTATATTATATACATTAGTTAAAAATTGAAATTAAATATATTTCTTCGTCGACTATTTTTTAATTTACTAAATTATTTAATTATTTCTATGTATTTTAGCACGCTGTCAAACACAACGGATGTAGTTTTATTTTTATAAAATTGTATCAAAAATTTTTAAATTTTTAAATAGAGTTTTAGTTAATTATTACATTACATAAAAAATATTTTAGTTTCACAGAAGTTAAAATTTATGAAAATTTCAATACTGATTACCTATAATATTGATTTATTATTAGTTATCACTCTCCAATTTATTTTACTTAAAGATTACTCTTAGACCATAGTATGGAGATCGTGCTTTTTTTAAATCCTAATAGTGCGTTTAATATTTAGTGACTTAATATTATGAAATCATTTTTCTTTTTTATAATGTTTTATGCACGAAAAACAATGTTATTTATAGATATAAATAATAAACAATGTATAGATAATCTATACATAAATTAAGTTATATGTATATATTGTATTTACTTCTATCTTTAAAATGAATAAATAAAATTTAAAATAATAAATGAGTTAAACTGTATAAAATTAAAAATTAAAATGAAAAATATCAAGAAATTTGCTTTTACTGTAAATAGTAGGTTTTGAACGCACCTTGTCATAGATTATGTCACTGTAATGAATGTTGTACTACATTTTAATTCAGTGATAAAATATTGAATTATTGTATGCAAAAACAAGTTCTAAGCGATTCTCCGTCTCTACATCTAAGAATATTTTAAAATAAATTTATTATTATTATACTATAACATAAATAATTTATTGTTCTGTTAACAACATAGTATATTGAACTTGGCGCTATTTTTTGTCATAATGTTGCGTACATTAATATTATAGTATTGTTGTTAACTTATAACTAAAAAGTTTACTAAGCCAATAATTATAACTAGCTCAGCTAAAGTAAGATTGCGATATCCAAACGTTTACAAAAGTAATGGAATAATTTGAACCATATAATAAATGCAAAGGCAATATCGGGCACTAAAAGAAGTAGAACTATTTTCTTCAAAAATAAACAATCATTTTTTATTAAAACACAAAATATGAACACGGAATTATCTCTCACGTCAATATGCCGGTTTTCTCAAGTCATAAAAATACCGACTGACCGTGACAAAAGCACACACGTCATACACATTTAATTCTTATTATTCTATACCTATGTATATTATTTAATATATTTTATACATCACTATCTTTAGTATACATCAGTATTAATTAATAAACCATACAATGTTGTGTGCCTTGAAAATATCATCATCACCACTGCCACGTGCAATTTTTATGTTTCATTATAATTTACAGCTAACTTAAAAAAAACAACCTATGTACCTAAATTTAAAAAAAAAAAAACAGATAAAATCCATAAACTAGGTATTAAGAACTCTTTTTCATAAGAAATAATTGACATTTATTTAATTGTTTTATAAAAATAAAGTGTATCACATATTGACTAAGAAATAACTGAATAAATATTTTAAGTTCAAGTACAACTTCTTATAATACAATATTCCTATTCAACCGTTTACTGACGTAATTTGTTTAAGGGTTTGTCTAAAATCAATATTTATCTTCTTCGTCTGTCTAGCATATAATACATTAACAAATATATTCTATACTTCCACAGTTATAACTCTTTGGTTTATTTAAAAGCAGAAAGCCTAATTTTGTATAAAAAAAGAGAATTTTCTGTGCATTGATCGAATAGTTTTTTAATATTTTAATTTTTTTATCAAGATAATTAATTTATAATTTAACTTAATTTCTCTTATTTTTAAATTTGAACCATTAATAACTCATTGATATTTTATTTTTTTTATGAACAGTTTAAATACTATCAATAGATACTTAAGTAATATAATATCACATAGTAAGTTCACGTCTATACTTCGCGCGTTTAATGTTGTTCTATCTAAAATTAATAGAAATAATTTTGAGAGCTTTCTAAAGATTTTCGTATTTATTGAATATAATATACTATGATAACGCTTATATTAATGTATTACATAATTTGTTTATCACTACAATAGAAATAAATTGGTAGGGGAATTTAACATATTTATTTGTCAAAAATAGTATATATTAGTCAAGTGCTAAATTTATATGTTAAAAATAAAATTATTAATAAATAAATATAAAAATTATACCTAAATAATAAGTATACCAATGGCGCATCTGAAGTTTAATCAAAGATACCATTTAAACTGTATTAATATATCTAAATCTTGATATTCCTTCGATGTTTCACATTAATTAACTGAGATATACATAAAGTTATAACACACATTGGTTATAAATTAAAATGTTGACATTATAATGGATTTAAACCATCTTTTTTACTACCTTAGACATTTAAATTAGACCCTATCTAACTTTCTGCTATATTTCCACCGTACAATTGTTGTTCATTAATTTTTATATAACTATCATATATGTTATTGTTTAAAACTTATAAATTTTAAATCATTATGTATGCATATACCCCAGTATTTATTGTCTTGTTACGGTAGGTAAATAAGCAAAACAGTTTACTTTATTAAGTCCAAAATAATATAAGCAGTTAATTTTCAAAATACTTTTCATCAACATAATATTTTAATACCATCTAAACTTTTTATGTATAAACATTTTTTTGACGATGTATCAATATTTTACAACCATATAACTATCTATATAAACTATCTACTTTTTTTTACAAAATCGTGACATGAAGTAACACACATACTTATTATATTTCGACGAGTTAACATTATTTAATTTTTACGTTTTATTAATAATTTATATGATATAAAAATCACAAATACTATAGAATTTTTTTTTTATAGCTTATACTACTATGTTATACTCAGCTTTTGAGCCTTAAAGATTGTTAAATATGTGATAATATTAAATTTAATAATAGCCACATATTATTCGATCATCTAAAATGTTATTTGTTATTTAAATGTATTACAGGAATATTAATAATAGTTTTCTACAGAAATTTTAAAACTTTAATCCCTTATTCCAACTATGTTATGTAATATTTTAGAATTAGGATTTGGTGTTTTATATGTATAGTTATGAGACAAAACCCGTTCACATTTGTGTTTCGTTAAAAATATTATCTTTACTCATTGTCTTACCATGTATAGTTTATTATTATGTTATGTAATATTTATTATAGTATACCTACAAAATAACTATGATAATTCCGATAAATTTATAAACTTATAGAATACAACCAATGCTGTTTATATTATCACTTCAAAGCTGAACGACTGCTAAAAATAATAGGTACTTAATCAAATAATAAAATGTTTGAAAAAATCATTCACTCCGATATTAATATTCATGTAAAAATTTGTTTTAGATTTATAATGTTATGTATAATCGTTTTAATTTTTTTATTCGTACCTAAAATTCATTTATTTCATTCTTGATATTATATTAACATTTATATTCGTTCATTTGTCACTGTAGTTATTGACTACCAAGTGTCGTAAGATTTAAAAAATAATGCAACTCCAATCTTCTACGATGAACTGGTGAAAGTTTTAGAATATTTTTATTTCATTATATTACTGAATTAATTATTGTATTAAGAGTATACAAATATTTTTAGTTGACAAGTAATATAATAACCTAACAAAATACGATTTGAAAATAAACAAATACAAAATTTAATTAATATTGCACAATTTAAAGTTTTAAATATTCCGCATTATACTACCCAAAATTGTTTGAGAAAAATTAGCTTTAATATAC